GATCAGTTACTAGGGCGGGTCTAGATTGGTCATGATCTAAGGGGGGAATGGGTTAGATGTCTGCCTGGTTGCTATGTTGACGTTGTTGTCCTATGGTGTTGTTGCTGTCTCCAGGAAACCACTACTGTGTTGCACTTGCCTTGTCACCGTTAGCGACCGCCCTGATCTGCAAGTCGAGGTGAAACTGCGTGCGGAGAACCTCCCTCTGCTCCACAAGCATGCCCAGCAAGCTGGCTCCGATCGTGCCCGTCCCGACCACGCCCACGCTCACCGTCTACAAGCGCATGTTGGACATTGTTTAACGGACAACAACAACGACGACGAAAACAACAACGCGAAAGACAAGGGCCAAGCGTGTCATCAGTTGGTTGCTCGAGTACAAAAAACGCGGCAACACTCAAGCATGCCGTATCTTGTGCAACACTATTAAACGGGTGTTACGAAGGTTGGCTTGGACTGTTAATATCGCATCGTGTTCTTCAGAAGCAGCTTGAAGAAAGTGATAGCAGGCTGCGTGCAGATCATACAAATGTCGACAAACTACATGTACAGCGCACTAGGTCGGTCTTCCTCGCAGCCCCGCTACCCTCTCAAACACGTACGACACAAGGCCACACGCACCCCACACACGGAAATGATTTCAAGGCTTAACACGAGCCCGAAAACCAAACCTATTATCGGACCAAGTACTGAAATATGGCGACGAGGGACGCCACACCCCGCACACAATACACCCGGTGATACAAGAAGCCAAAATCGTATCACCGGGGGGTGTTTTCTTGTGGAGTTTACTTCTACTCAACTGTTTGTCGCATGGCGTATGCGTCTACTACTTCTCCAACTGGGGGGTTTGTCGCAAAAAAATCAACTCGTTGACGCCATTGAACGGGGAGGCGATGCGGGTAAAAGGCGGGTATGCTGTACACCGCGAATCACTTTCCACGTTGCAAAACTCGAAGGCACACAAACATGCAGCGAGTAATTCCTAACGATAGTCGACAAAACAAAAAACATGACGATGGACGCACGTCTCGTCACATCAACAAAATAGTCTGGTTGGTCTCACCAAGTGCGACAACAGGAAGGCCGCGTGCACCGCCCTGAGAGCCTTGGCGCTCTGCCGCTGCTCCACCACACACGAGATGTTTCTCTCGCTGCACCCCTGCCATATTGTCACCACGCGTCAAAAAACAAGGCTGGATGTTTCATCCATCAAGTAGCACAGGTCGGCACTATACCTCATCGCCCACGGCATTCACTCGTGACGTCACGCATGACGTCACGCATGACGTCACGCTTGACGTCACGCTTGACGTCACACCGATGACGCCGATACGAAACGATTACGACCAACAGTTCGGCATCACAAAAGCGAGAGAGAGAGAGAGAGAGAGAGAGAGAGAGAGAGAGAGAGAGAGAGAGAGAGAGAGAG